TTTTTTTTTTCTCCAAATGGAGTTTGCAATCATTTGTACAGCCTCCTCTCACAATGAGACGTATCTTAATAGTTTGAAACAAAAAAAAAGCACCTTGGGACACAAAGGCTTTTTCCAGCTTTTACCAATTGTTTTTCATCATCTTGTTCATCCAAGATACATTCAGCAAATGAATTCATCTTTTGCTGTACTACAGAGAAACAAAACTCCAGTCCTGAGCTAAAATCAGGGACAATGATATGTTGAATGATTTTGCCGTTTTTCGAAAATATCGCGAGACACAGTGAGTCAAAAACGTTTTTATTTGGTGAGAGCGTTTCTGGCTTTCTTTTTCAGGCACCGTAGTTCCACCTCATTACGGCGGACTTTGCATGGCGGTTAAACTGTCATACAAACCTTTGTGTGGCAGAAAAATGCCAGAAACGTCGCTTTTTAAAAACATTTTAACCTCCGACAAGTCTCGTGCAGAACAAGCTTTACTTTATTCATTTTAATTTTGTTTCTTCTGAACACAGATGGTGATCTCGTAATAGCATATAACGGGAAAAATGTGAGCATTAAGGCGATTTTACAGCGATTAAACATCACTGGAACGTTCTATTTTGGTGCTTTTTGTCCGAGAGATGAACATTCGTGCAAGAAAAGATGTATTCATGGCGCTCCCGCTGACCCAGCAGAGCGCGGAAGGAAGTTACCTTGTTACTGTGACAGCTATTGCCTAGATGTAGGAGATTGTTGTTACGATTTCCTCTCCAGGTAACGAGCATGCAATTAACTCCTGTGAGTGAAGATAAATAAAACAAGTATGACTAATCAGTTTTGCCAATTTGTGAACCAAATCCTGCGCTGTGATTGGTTATAAGAGCGGCCAAGATGGCGCTATCCCGGCCGCTCAGGATTATGCGCTGTGTCCCGCAAAAAAAGAATCTTTATAATAAATCCTTTATTGACCAAGCTTGTTTGGTCAAAATGTCTTGATACTAGCCTCGTCCTTTCTGTCCATGTTTATGGACCTCGACTCGATTTTCGTCCGTAAACGCGCAGAAAATTTACTTGGACAATCATTCCAACCATCTTACTAAACAAGCTTGCTCAATAACCCAAGTATACGACAAGGACGGCAATATAAATGAAGACAGAATAACAATAACGTCAAGGGCAACAGCCACAGAAAACCTTATTGACGTAAAACAGCAGCAGCAGAAACAAAACCTATCCCTGCAATCTCTTGAGCTGGTAGACGAGAGAACACCAATATAAATTTTTAAAAAAATAGATTTACTGAGACAAAGAACTGTTCAAGCTCGATGCGGTCTAAAGATCTGGAGACACTTTATTGTATTAAGACAGCAAGTAAAACTGACAACAACAGCAACAGTAATCCAGTGTTCAAATGGCTGTAGCAGATTTCAGTTTAATTCCTGTTTTGCTGTTGTTGTTGATGTTGCTGATGTTGTTGCTTGTTGTTTTTGTTGATGTTCATTTATTGCTCCTTATAAACTAGTTGCAGTCATGTGCAACCGAGGCATGACGACCAACGTGGACAATGGGAATGTGTGAATATGAAGAACTCAGACAGTCATGGTAATGTGATGAAAACCACATGTCCACAAACTACCGTTCAACCAGAGATTCAAACCTTATGCGAGACTGTAGATAACACAGACTTCCTACGGAGAATGCCTGTTGTAGATGAAATAGCAGGTATTGTTTACAGGAATGTGTTTTGTGCCAGGTGTAATGCCGTAATAAACGTATCTTACTGGCGAATGACCGCAGACTGTGGACCTATTCCAGCCTCAGCTCTTCCTCAAGACAACGCATTGTTATTGGCTTTTATAAGAGAAAACTGCACGGTTAAGTACCAGCCTACAGATAAACAGCGAAAATACCTCAAAAATTGTCTTGTGACCAAAAGCAATTGCTCCTCGAAACAAATAGTTGAAAAAGAACCAGTGTTGCAAGATCTCTGTTCACACTACGCTTTCCCTGTTTGTGGAAATTCACACCGTAAAAACCTCCACTGTGCATTGTGCAATGGAGACGACATAACTCAGGTAAACTGTGGATGCCTGGCGCCAGTTACAAGCGATCCTCCAACTCAAGCCACGACTCTTAAGTCAACAACTCTACAACATCAAACGAATCCAGGGTCAACATCTTCAACGCAGACCACGACAAGTGATCCGACAACGCTTACCACGGGACCCGAATCAACAACTCTACTGTATACCATGACATCTGGAACAACACCTCCACCGTTTACTACGGGACCGTGGTCAACACCTCCACCACGTACCACAATACCTTGGACCACACCTCCCATGCTCATGACGACGCTTATGACGTCTGCAATGACGACAACTGATTTTCCACGTGAACCAGTTCCTCCTCCACTGAACATTCTGTTTGACTTTTCCTCCAATCAAATTAGCATTAAAGGCAAAACAACTCAAACTAAAGTTGTGGCACAAAAGACTTGTCAAGAAGGGTTTGTTTATGATCCTTTCGTTCAAAACTGCAGAGAGGCTTTCCACAAAGTGATTGCAAACCCCAACATCTCAATCAATTCAACCAATTCAACCAATTCAACGAGTGATGTCGAAATAATGCTGAACTGTTCCGGCATACAGCTTAATTCTTCAGACACAGTTTTGCTTCCAAATGGAACTTTGTGGGTTCCTTTACACTCCACAGGATATAACCGCACTGATTATTTCATGAATGGCTCCTTTGTATTTTTGTGCTCAAACTTTGCAAGTAACTACTCAAAGAGAGAAACAATTGCAAGGTGGTCCTATGTGGTATCTCCATTACAGATTATTACCTACGCCGGTTGCTCAGTTTCGGTTCTATCGCTGCTTATTTTACTCGTCGTTTACTGCGTATTTAAGGAGTTGAGGACTCTGCCAGGGAAAAATCTGATAAACCTGTCTTTTGCAATGATATTTTATCACATATTCCTGTTTGTCGCAGGATTAAGAAACATCCAAGCTCTCTGCACTGGAATCGCTATTCTTCTTCATTACTTTTTGTTATGTTCATTTGCATGGATGAGTGTGATGGCATTTGATGTGGCAAAAACATTTGTATTTCACGGTAAGAAGTGCTCTCATTTATCGTTTAGGTCTTGATCAAAAGCAGTGAGCATCACGTGACATAATATAGCGCTAAACATGTCAGCCTTTCTAAGTAAAATGACTAAAGGAGTCGTTGAATTAAAGTGTACATTCACCCTCTCTCCACTCCCACTCTTTTTTGCCATGAGACCTCTCACCCAGACATTAAAAATATTAATGGTTTATGAAACAATTTATCAGTGTTAATTCTGAAGACAATGTAGAAAGCGTTATCTACACATAATATGCTTTTGTGACTGGTCAGAGAGAAAAAAAATAGACCAAGTCGCCGATCCCTTTCGTCAAACACGAAAAACAATAAACAATGCTTTACTATGATTTCAGATAATGCCGCACGTTCCCAACCAGCTAGGAACAGTAGGAGGACTCTCTTTAAATACTGTGTGTGTGCCTGGGGTTTACCTGCAGTTGTTGTGGTCACGTGTTTTGCGTTGGATTACACGGATACTGTTGGCATAGGCTACGGTATGCCAGAAAGTTGCTGTGTGGCATTTTTTTTTTCCTGTTACATAAGATATATTATCGCGCAAATAAGATTTTTCTTGTGTTCGAGAGAGACTGGATACGTTTGTTTACTGCATTGGTATGACTGGGCTAAGGATTTAACACGTGTGTATTTTTCATAATGTAATACTTGACATTCCAGGTTTCCGGGGGGTCGCGAGATCAACACCCATCAGAGACTCGTCAGAGGCAAGCTGAACGCCTGTTTGAAAATAATTATACGAGCTGTTGGTTGCCAAGCTAATGCAAATTCATATGTGTTATTTGTTTGTTTGGTTTTGAGTTTAAATTTTAGCTTAATGCCTCCCCCCCACCCCCAATTAAACATGCCGAGATTAGCGACATTGTAAGATTTTGATACGTTTTCTTTGGCAGGACACAGTGGATTTTGCTGGATCAAAAATGGTACTACGTTGCTAGCTGTTGTTGGTGTCCCCGTTGCAATGGCTATTGTATTTAATTTCGCAGCTTTAACTTGGACAGTCATTTCTATTTACAAAGTGCGCAAGGTAAGATCATTTGATTTATTGGCTGGGAAGCATTTTACCAAGTAGCCTGTACAGCTATACAGTTGAAGCAATTCCAATATTCATTAAGATGCGTGCCCAGCTGATTATCATTCTACCGATGGGACCTTGATCCTTATTTAATTAGGATGTTTTGCGACTGTTCTTCAAAACCACTTTATAAGGAAATAGCAGCAGTATCATGTACGGTGTATAATGTATCTCCTGTCTGAGAAAGATAACAACTGATACCTAATGTCTTTCGGGGATGGGATGGGATGAGATGAGATGAGATGAGACGAGATGGGATGGGATGGGATGGGATGGGATGGGATGAGATGAGATGAGATAAGATAAAATAAGATAAAACCTTTATTTATCGAGGGTTAACACATAATAGGGGGCATTCACTGATAAAGTCAATTTGTTGTGGAGGCTGCTGCTCTCTTAGTAATGCAATTCATCATGACGGATTCCTGCCCAATATTTTTTTTTTGTATTTTCGAGTACCAGTCGCTTGATGCCAGATTATTAATATATTACCAAAAATCACTAGATTCTTATGCCAACCATTTGTTGTACTGTATTCATGCAGGTCACTAGTAAATTGTCCGACCAGGGAAGTCACTCAAGTCTCGCTCTGCTGTGCATCAAGCTGACTGGCGTCCTTGGTCTTACATGGGTGTTTGGATTTCTCAGTTCCATCGTAAAAACTGACGCTACAGCATATCTTTTTGTGGTGGTTAACAGCTTACAAGGTGAGGTGTCAAAAAGGAACAAATCTTCTGCCTTAGAGATGACTGAGGCAGTTCGTAATTCAACGCATCATCTCACTGACGTCTCGACTTGTTTAGTTACAGTACAATGAATCTGTAATACATGTACAATTTGAATACGGGCTTAGAATTACATTTTTAGTCTCAGGTTTGATTGCACGGAAAATAACGCCTTTCCTTTTCTTTCAACTTTATTTTCCATTTTTTTTCCTTTTAAAGTGAATATATGAAAGATCATATATTTGACCTATTGTTTGCTTGTTTCTTTGTTGCCAGAGGGATAGTATAATATCAATACAGGTACTTAAAATCTGGTTGTTGATGGCCAGGGATATATAAATGACAAGATGATGACCCTTTTTCTTTATTTCTTTTTTTCACAGGATTTTTTATTTTCCTGACGTTTGTTGCAAAGAAGAGAACTGTAACTTTGCTGAGAGGCGCGAAAAAGAAATATCATGAAGGAGGTCACAGTACCTACAGTATCAACACATTTGACACAAAGTTGTAAAATGCTCTGCTCTGCCTGTTCTTTCTAAATATCTGGAAGTATCAAATAACAAAGACATAAAAATTAAGGTTTCGCTCTTTTCTCAATACAAACTCAAGTCAATACAAATTCATACCCTAGAGGTTGTTCAACGGAGGGGTGAGTTTAATAGGTAGCTCTCAACTTACTCTACAAAATAGATTACTTTTTTGGGTATGGCTTTTGAAGCCGTCATTATGTCCCTTATATTTGATCTCGTTACATTCTCAGGAAGAGAGAAAATTATGTAAAATTGGTAGAAAATATTGATTTAAAATGGTAACAGAGCCTCCCCCCCCCCTCCCCCCAAAAATAGAATTTTGACAACAAATGACAAATTTGGCTTGACCATCTGTCAAAATGCAATTGCTATGTTAACATAAATCGACGTTAAGATTCAGTTGACCCGTCAAACTTTTCAAAAGGAATGAATGAACGGTTGCTTGAAATTTCATATCTACAGAGCACATCTCCTATTTAAATTTTCCAGAGCTTCTGGGAAGAGTTAAGGTAACCACCCCTTTCCTTGAACGTTTGAGGGTAAAAAGCCGCGTCCCACAAGTCATTGAAACGAAAAAAAAATTCGTTGACATCCTTCTCCTATCAGTATCGAAGACTGTGATTATTATAAAAAGAGTTATAAAAGTATGTAAAATCTTACTACGTCAGGTTTCCTCATTGTGGACGAACACTGTCAAGTAACCTGACCGTTTTAAGCGAATTAACGTCTTATTTGTCAAATACATACTCATTATGTAGTATATATTTGCATCGCCGGTCTGTCTACGTTGCTTTTTCTAATCATATCGCTATTCTTTGTATTAGTTGTTAATTTCGGTAAGACGGGGATTCTTCATGGATCGTACCCTGTAGGTGCAAAAGTACATCTTGCAAAGTGATCTCATGTCATTATCTATACGCTGATCTGATAATAATAAAAAAAAAATTATCGGAAACAACTGTGTTTGTATTCTTTTTTTCTGTGTTCATTTTATTGGGCAGCAATCATGACAATGTTGTAGCGAGGGAATATTTTCTTGTAACTATAATTTCTCACCTCCCTCTGTGAAAAGCAAACGTACCTTTGATTCCGCTTTTTATATGTTTGTTTTTGTTATTGTTGTTGTTGTTTTGCGTAGACATTTCAGTCATTCTGATTCTTATTGTTGATCTCAGATCCAAATGACTAGCAACCGTCGTCAAAACTATTATAACTGCACCACAATTCTCCGGGAACGCCATATGGTAACGTCAGGCTGTAGTTAATGGTTGTTTTAAAGGATCGATAGTGAGCTTGACGTCTTAGCCATAAAATACAAGGAAGGAAGGGAGGGTGGCTACAACTGCAAACTGCACGGTCGCAGACAATAGCGAGAGACAAACTTCTCTAGAGGGTAACACTGTTAGGATGAGGGAGCCTGCTGCAGCATTGATTTCAAGATCGGAACACATGGGAAAGGATTTCTTACAAATCTGAAATGTAGTGGGCAACAGGGCACGTCCTTTTTCAGTGTTTCATCGTAGGCGCTTTTTCTGTTGGAGCTGGGACGTACAAACGGGCAGTGAAAGATGTAACTGCTGCCGATCTTGGCTTAACAACGCTTTAACTTTGCTTCAAAGCTGTTTTCTGTATGTTGTAACTATTCTTTTTGTTAGAACGCCAATGCAAAACAATTAAGGCAACAAGAACGGCAAACAAGCTAAAAACAATGTAAAAAGACGAATATTAATTTATTAGTTTGGTTTGCAAACACTACTACAGGGAAGAATATCATGTAAATTTTGTGGCAAAACGTTATTATTATATACAAAATTAACTTTAATACCCTAAAATTTCAGCATGAATTGTCTCAATAAACCGTCTGCAAATAAGGACAAACCGTTCTCGCCACATCTAGTTTGGAGTGCTTGTGACTGGGACCTGGGAATTCGTTCGTTATAGCTCCCCGCGTACCTGAGACCAATTAGAGCAAATTAAGTCGCGATAACTCGTATTTTTGTATAGCAGGGAGTTTAGTTGAATTACTTCTTTAAAAAGACTTGCGAACGCAAAATTCGAACGTTCCAAATGTTCGAAATTCTAAATTAATAAATTTTCGACGTTTTCAGTTCTTAGGCAGGCGTTGTGAACTAGGGAAAAAAAATCATTCGCTATCGATCCTTGCTTGAATTTATTTGTCAAATCCTTTTAAAAACGAATATCCTAGCATCCCACATCACCACAAATATAATACGCAACTTAAATCAAACAACCGCCTTCTTCGGTGTCGCCAGTTAAAAGGGCTCCGGAGATTTTAAGACTGTCTTGATCTTTGTTGTATCGTAAGGTGAATAGTCCCTGCCTCATTGCTATTCAGGCAACTCCTGCCCGACTATATAACGAAACACTAATTACTGATCCCTTGGGGAACAGTCAGTTTTGTATTTCCTCGGGTCTCCATGTTTCCCACTTCGTTTATCCTCTTGAAAACTATACACGTTTGTAGACATTAAAACTCCTGTTAATCTTTTCATAAAATGAATTTTTTTCCATGTACAAATTTAGATGTTATGTGCATGCTAATCACTTCTCACTATTATACGTACGAGGGTGGTATTCAATTGACATATTCCATTTCTTCCCATAATTCATTTGGGACTAAAATAGAAATTAGCCTTAGAAATTTTGAAATTAAACCTAATTTTAATAAAACGTTCTTAAGACACATGTTTAGAAGGTCCTCGCTCACGTCTGGCTTTAGGGAATTTTCTCCATTTTATTAACTTTCCCTCCAAATTATTTCGGCTTAACTACCAGACAAGATTGTTTAACCAGCTACAACGGGACAAGAACGTAACAGATATAATTTTACCCCTGTCTCAAGTGCTTCAAATAATAATTTGTATCCTTCTTCGCTGATAGTTTACTTTATTACCTGCTGGTTTTAAAATATATTACCCATGCATTCTGATATCGAAATTAAATGTTTAAATTTACTTAATTATTTTTTTCAGCCCCTGCAATACCAAGCGGTAACAAAATTAAATAACATCCGCTCAAATCAACAGTCGTAATGACATAGGCCTTTAGGTGCTCAACGTTCGTTAAATTGTTCTTCTTCTGTTAAAGGGCGGTCATCCGTTTACATTTTCGTGTCAACGAGGTAAGTATCACTTATATGGTTAAACAATGTATCCTATTCGATGCATTTGTACTACAGTGCCACCCTGGTGAATAATCAGTGCACTAACGTTTTTCATTCATGTCGATGCACATAACTGAATTCCTAATCTGATCTTTTCTAAAACAGCATTCAGAACGTATCCGTAAATCCCATGGCCAGCACCTTGCCTTGACGCCTTTTTCACAAAGATTCGAGAAATATATTACTTAATGTCATAAGAGCAGTAACTTTTTTTTCCCCTTTTAGATCCAATGTGTTTGGGCGGCAAAAACTGTATTACCAGGTGGTATTCGGTAGCACTTTTCTATCGATTTGGCAGTATGCTGTAATTGAAAAACAACAACAACAAAAACAAATCCTGCTCTTAAAAAGATGAATGTGGAATTAAAGGAAAAGAAAAACACTTCACGAAACAAAATTGATGGTTCCTTGAACAGGGCTGGGTTTATTCGAACGTTATATTATTATGGTGGTTGTCTAGTGACAAGTAACTAAATTAAGTGAAAAATTGCGTGAACTATTGAATTTATCTGACAGTTTTTGAACTTGATTTAAGTTAAGTTCTTTCGCTCCCACAGATCATCAGTTCTTTCGTTCTCAAGGATCGTGTAACAAGGTAGTTTCGTTTCAAAAAACAAAAAAATGATTAGCAATTATTTTCGTCGGAATTTGTCGATATGAGTCGAAGACAAATATACAATATACAAATATATATACAAAAGAAACACGCATAAAGAAACAAAAATGATGGTTCCTCGAACAGGTTTGTTCGAACGTTATATTATATGGTGGTTGTCTAATTACAAGTAACTAAATTAAGTGAAAAGTTGCGTGAACTATTGAATTTATCGGACACTTTTTGAACTTGATTTAGGTTAAGTTCTTTCGCTCCTAGGGGTCATCAGTTCTTTCGTTCTCAAGGTTCTTGTAAAAAGGTATTATCATTTACAAAAAAAAAAACAAATCTAATTAGCAATTACTTTCGTCGGAACTTACCGATATGAGTCAAAGACAAATAAACAATGTTATTGCGAATTGGATAGTTATCTGCTTGAGCTTACTTAAGCTGATACCCTTTGAATATGGCACCATTTGCAATAAGCAAGATTTATAACTTCAACTTCGTATGTTGGGTTTAAGAAGATTTTCTTTTTAGCTCACGGACGTTAATCAGTCAAACAACCAGATATAAATTATCTGCGGTTTCTTTTGAACAAAGATAATTACAGAGCGTTCTCAAGTAGATCCGCCATCTTGCATATGGTTTTTGCGGCTTTTCCGACCAAATAATAAGAGGTAACATAAATTGATTTTTTCAAAAACATCAATCCGAAATGAAGATCAAAACCACCAATTTTATCTAAGCCAACATGTCAAAATGTGGTGTGATGTGATGTTAAATGACGTTCACAGACAGACGATGCACTAAAATTGCTGCGATGGATTAATGAATAGTCATTTTAAACTAACAGAAAATCTTCACACAGTGGCCGGGTAGGGGAGGCTAGAGACATCCACTCCCGTTTGTACGCCTAAGGTTAGAACCGAGCATTTACTTTCAACAGATATATATCTATATTGCAGTGCAATGGTCTGTTAGGAGAGACTCTTGAACATGTACAGATACTCGACCCAACAACCCTCCATTATCCTCCTGGTCATTTATGCGTTTTTGACGTTTGTATCGGAAGTAGCTGCTGATGGTAAGGAAAAAGTGATGTTTTCTTTTTTTCAGTTTGGCAAGGTTGCTTATTTTCTTTATATCTTTTGAGATTTTGTAATTTTTTTTGTTCCAATTAATGTAGTTTGTAATCAAATATAAAGACACTCGATAGAAGAACCATTGAAGTTATTGTTAATTTCCCTAAAGCTGGTTGTCATTGTTTTCATCTAAAATGTTGTGAACATGCACCAGTCTTTTAAAACAAGAATAAAAGCAAAAAACAAAAACAAACAAACACCAAAAACATATTGTCTCAGGCTAATATCCCTGGTAATGATATGTTGACTGAGTTCTGAGACAGGTAAGGGATACTATGAGAGGGTTTCTATACCTTTCCGTGTATATTCCGCTGCAATTATCAATCCTGATGATCTGTCTTTTATTGCGATGTAGTGCACTTATTAGCATAATAA